CAGTCGAACAGGCTGACAAACCGACCTTTCCACAGTGCATGCCAACCTCAAAGGACTTTAATAATTCATGCCTACTTATGGATAGGCTTCAATTGCCCTTAAGGTTTTCGAACTGCAAGAAATATTTTCAGAAAACGATGTAGAAAACAGGGACTATGAAGCTCCGCGCTCAAGTCAGTAAATGTCCGTTTAAGGCTCATGACTTTGCATGTGTCGAAGTCATGAAGGAGTGGACGGAAGCTTACACATACTTTCGGACAGAAAACACTACTTACGTTAGGGTGGGGTGCTGGAGATTAGCTGGGAATCCTTCCGGCTACACGTGTAAACCACTTTAGAATTAAATGGTCATCCCGGTAGTGTGCAGTTTCCTATTTGAAACGGATACGGCTGACTTCACATATCTGTAGAGTATTTGGTACTCTCCCATGGAAATAATTAGACTTCGAAATGTTCAGTGACACATGTAGTCTCAAGCACCTCTAAGACCTTGTCCTGTTCACAGGAACACGCGGATTTGAGCTCCCAAGCTTTCGATGCCTACCAATTGGTGTATATATGAACTCGGCGGCCTCGGTGAGATTCGAGGCGGCGACGGCACGGGCAAGCCGTGAATACAAGCGAGGTTCTGACCACCTCAGCTACAAGGCTCCACCGGGAGCCTTGAGCGTTGGTTATACTCAAGCCCTGCCCTTGCTGTAGCACGTCCGAATTCCATCGAGTTTCTCACAATTGGGTCAAATGAATTATTCAAATCTGTCAAAGAGCCCTTATTAGTATGAACATTATTGTCAAGTATGCGTGTTACCCCACAACATGTTTATATACCCCACTTCATAAGGCCCATGACGTACTGATGATCGGTAGCGACGTAAAACAACTGCCTGCGTCTGGACTATTGCGCTCTTTGGTGAGCTGCTTACGTATTATACGAGTATTATTATTTCTTGCTCCTTAGTGTTTCTACGCCATATGAGACTTACTCACTCAAAGGCGTATACGCATACTTTGCACCTAGGTGTAGTCTATTTGAATCTGAAATCAGGCCGCAATTGCTGTGTCGCTTTGCAGACTTATAACGAAGCATTAATCAAAACGGGAGTACTGGCGAGCCAGATTAATCATGGCAGCGCCTAAAAACTTGCCTAATTACAAACGCATTGCAGATCAAATGCACCTATACCGGAAGTACCTGTTAGGGGACGCGAGTTCCAGCAGAATTAGTGTAAAAAACTAACTGTATATTATTTGCAGAAACTATAAGTGAATCTACACAAGCGTATAAAATTAATGGGAAAAACTACAGGCTCCGACTTCTTGCGCGTAAACCAAGGAATGCTCAACCAACGCCCAATGTTCAAACTTGTTTTGGCAAAGGCTGGACTATGTCCCCAATAAACTAGCGTTGTAGCGTAACTTAGGAATCCTTTCTAATAGAAAGTAGTATTTAAAAGTCGAATAGATACTTAATGTTCGTTGATGTCTATGAAAAAGCTGGTAAGGGTGATGAGCACAACAGAACCCACATGCTCATTACTGGATCACTTGAATAAATGCACTGATGTCTGAGCGGGACGTTCTCCGACAGGATGGCAGACAAAGGCAGGGTTCTATAGCAGCCGTAGAAGCACAGCGTAAACCCACTCATAATGATAATTTGCACGTTGATAAGTCCGCTTGTTGGTTTTAAGCACAGACAGCGTACGACCAAGAGGCAGGCCGGTCTTTAGTTGTGCGCCCAGACCACTCCACGAGTTGAGGTGAAGATTATGTACCAATACCCCAAAACGACCCCTAACCGCATCGGCTGGGAAAGAAGTAAGTAGTCGCAAACACGAGAGCGAAGGAAAGTACGCCAGTGTACACATTAGGGTGGAAAGGTGGGAAGAAAACAAAGAATAGAAACGTGAAAGTTATGGGATAAACAAGTGCAGAGGAAATAAGAAAAATTAGTAGGGCAGAGACGGAAGAAACACGGCGGGAAATATTTATTCACAGAAGAAGGAAAAATAATCTGTTCCCAGGATCAGTAGGCATAATCTAAAGTTTAAAACAGCCCGTGTGCACGCACTTGGTCGAACCTTCAGGGGTCAGCAAAGAGAGAACGGATGGTAGTCGTAGACAAGAGCACCTCCGGGAAGGACGTACAGTAGCTGATTCGAGTAGAAGGTAGTCGTGACGACCACCACACAATTAGATAAGGTATGAAGGCGATATGGTTGGCGATAACGCCAGGAGTCACAGCGCCATGGCATTTTCATCAAGAAGAGGGTTCAGCTCTTGAAACTAGTGACAAAAGTTCCTCGAGCCTTGCATGGAATTTTGCATAGAGGAAAGAAGGACTGGTACACGAAAGTGAGCGTTGTCGTATGGCCTCTGAGCGGATCTGGTCGTCTAGGGTGCGCATAGCGATGTTAATCCAGAAAGTGAATGCTCATTTTGTTCTCAATATCCACATTCTCAACAGCCTACAGGGTTAAAAGTAGAAGAGGCATCTTATACCAGGGGGAGGGGCTGACTAATAAATGAAGGAAGCATGAAGTGTGTTGGTCTTCTCGTGATCGGCACAGCTAATAATTGGCTCTTCAAGAAGCCCGAGATAAGAGCTATCTAACGACTGTGCACAACGGTGGATGGCTGGTGAATAACTAGTACCCAGGCGCTGAGCTTAACAGTTGTGAGTCTAGTGGTCGCTGTCTAGTTGACGTTCCTATCAGCAGTACCGAGGACATCAGCCCAGTCGCCAGGCCTGATCTGGTCATACTTGTTCACTTTTCCAACTGGACGGTATAGGGGCAGCGCAACACAAACTCCGGGATGACATCGTGGACGAGCTCTCAATCGGACCGACGGCGTGAGCGACTAGGCCATCTAAGGTGGCATTTTTCACTACATCACTAGGAAAGTTCCCTAATCGGAGGTCAAACCCCACATTGCCCATGGGGTCTGTCAGATGAGGTTGGTAAAGCGCAGATGTTTCGTAAATCAATAGCCGTAAAACAGGACGACTTATCCGCAGCCTCATACATTTGACAATGATTTATACTAAACCCCTGAAACAACACAGATGCTTTCGGAATCAACCACAAATGCTTTATGTGAGTTCTTTTCTAAAAAGCGATTACTGGTGGTTTAGAAGAGCCGAGTTGGATAAAAAGGTCAGTCGTCTTGACTCCAGCTATGAGGGTGGGGGACACTTGTGATGAAAAGCCGCCAGGCAGTAACTTCGTCTCACTAACGTTCACTTTTTAAGGCGAGCTTGCAGGAAGCGATGATGTGGTTCACGACGGACTGTTACCTCAAAGAAATTCCCAAGGACCACTATGAAATCGTCCTCTACCTTGAGGTCCCAAAGTCTTTAAGTGGTGCCGAGACAGCGTCAGGTCGAAGTAAATTATAATAAGAAAAGTGGGTGACGAAATATTTCATCTGACGCCTGGATCCGGGAAGGCAGACGAGGCTATCAACGTCGACGAAGTGAACAATTGTCCTCTACATCTAGTCTTTTGATCTGTGGTGGAACCGTTATCACATAAGGCCGAGCAACACATCGACCCTTCGTGGCATACACGATCCAGTGTATGTATCCATGATCCATTGTGACATACCAAGATTGCTTCCGTCGCCCATAATGAGAGCCCGCGGAGGTCTTAAGTCTCTGATTCACGAGTCTAGGGTTCGCTGTTCAGTCACCCACTTCTGCTCCGTTCTCTGCACTTTTAAATTTCTAAATTGTCAAAACAAGAAGTGTTCCATGACAATGAAGTTTAAAAAACGCACAAGGTCGGCATACAGCAAAAAAATCAACTGTCCTTCATCCCAGGACAAGAACACCGGCAAGAAGACACCTTTCTGTTAACATATCTATAGACTACTCGGCGAATCCCCAGACGACGTAAAGCGGAATGGCCTTCATTGGGAATATAACTTGAAGTGGGCTGGCCCTCTTGTCGGCCAAATGAACTAGCGCAGATTTTGAGACATCATATTTTCAGGCGAAGCTGGACTGTGGTCAGGAAAATCAGCTAGCCGCGGGTATATAGTAAGCCAAAGCGGCATCGTAAGCCGACTATTGTCCGTCATTCAGTAAGGCTCCAACGTGGACGTATTACAAATTGAAGCGCAACCCACGCATAATGTAGACAGAAAACTCTGTTTATACCATACTACCGCGTCTTCAAACGAATTACGACTTGTACCGTGGGATCTGGGACCATCTTAAGAAATACCACTGCTAGTCGAAGCAAGTGAGATTAGTGGTCCCCCATGCATGATTGGAAGTAGTACTTACCGTCTTAAACTCCTCGTAGGTAATAAAGCCATCGCAGTTGATATCGGCTTCAGCCATAGTTCTCTCACCAATCCGGTTTATCTAGAAGAACCAGTTAGAATGAATGTATGTTAGCTAATGAACTGTAAGTGGGCAGGAAAAACAGCAAACGGGACTTTAAGGAAGCGGTATGTGAGATGTCTGCCGTAAGGGCACACGAAGTTTAAAGAATTAACATACTTGATCCATCGTCACGTTAGCGCCAACCATCATCTGCAAAACACTGAGTAATTCACTCCGAGATATTTTCTGGTCAGTGTCCAGATCGTACATTCCGAAAAGGAATTGTAATTTGGCCTCACGACTGTTATACTCGGTCTGACTGCTTGATGTTGGCTTCCGGAAGCGCGCAAGTTTCCGCATATACTCGCGGAAGTTAAGTTCCTCGCTATTATAACGGCAAAAGATTACAGCAATTGATCATAATACTAGAATTATGGTATGAATAAGAATTCGTATTCCTGCATTTATAACATCTGAGACGCAAAAGCAAGATGTAAAGATCTAGGCTCAATATAACGGCAAACGCATCAATAGGCTACAGTCCTCCAACGTGGTAATGCCTGCAACCGATTTGAAATTCATGCAAGAGCGGATCTTGTTGAAGAATTGTGGACACTGAATGTACCGTTTAGCACAGAAAGGTCAGATTTCATACGTGGACCAACGCACTGAAATTACGAGGTAAATGACTTCTGAATGACTAAGATCGCTACCAGGTTGAAATGTGGTACTTTTTAGTGTATTTTTTCTACGTGAACACGCTTACCTTACCTTACTTATAACAGCGCTAAACTAATCAGACAAATATCAGTGACATTGGCATTGCTAGCTGCATAAACGCCTAACCGTCTGCGTGGAAGTCATGAGGCAATTTGAATGACTGTCAGGAACGCCCTTAGTTGCATATTTTACAGTCTTCTGACCCAGTTTACGAAGATAATTTATTTTCTAGAGGGGTATAGACTTAGCAGAACACAAAGGATGGATGTCGTCAGTGGCAATTTTACCTTGGCCTTGGCCTAAAAAACTGTTAAAGATCAATTGCCGATATAAATTTAAATAATTAGATGTATGAATACCTACTTAGTTTTTGTACATTACGTGATCTTTGGGAGTACTCAAACCACAAAATAAATTCGGTGTAGGAGCCAAACTCGACTACCCAATGCTCGTATATTTGCGCCTTCACTGCCCACGAGATAGCAGTGAAGAAACCGTGTGAACTAATAGCGGTGATAAGGTGGACACGAATATTCTGACGGCATTTGGTCTCAATGGTATCTAGCTAAGGTTGACTGGAAACAACAAGGAAGAGGAACCTCTTGTCACGGCTAAGATCGCAATAAATTAATATAAACTACAAAACACAGAAATAATAATTCTTCTGGAAGTACCACGAGGTCCGGTAAGAGATAAATCGCTAGAGTATTACAACGGCCATTGATCGTTTACTTCGAAATGGGCACTTACCCTCCCTTGAAAAACTCATTAATGATCCGATCGCCCAGTGGGTTGATGGCTAGTTCAGGGATTAAAAGAAAGTCTTGACGTCTAAAAATACCATAGATTAAAGGAGGGAGTTACTTCAAATGTCCCGCTTTCGAGCGATCTAATGATACATAACGATTGTAAAGTCGGTGAATTTGTTTGGGTGAAACTAAAAAATGAGCGATTAAGAAACCAATAGTTACATCCAGTTTCCTTGGAAATTTCATCGACCTCCTCCACGTCTAGAACTTTCGAAGTGCTGCCACCCATTTCGGAGAACTAAGCCACAGAGAATGGCCGGGCACACTTAGAGTTCTTAAAATGCCCGCGAACTGGTAACGAGCATTAAAAGAATTATGCTTTTAGGTAGTAGGTCTGAAGAAACTAATACAAAAGTTCTAGATTGGAGACGAGTTATTGTAATTTGCCGATAAAAGACAAAACCGCTTTGTCGCTTACCTTAGACAGTAGCTAGATCTTATGTGGTGGCCCAGCCTCTTTCAGCAATAAGCTACTGGACCTCACACTCGATCTCCCTCTGGCGCAACATGTGAAGGTACCAACAAGATTTCGAGAGAACCAGAGAGCAAATTGTCTAGACCTAGTTTTCACTAAAGACTTCTCTAATATCGACGAAGTGTATTCCAATGCACCTCTCGGGAAAAGTGACCATACCACGCTATTATGGGATTACTCGCTCTTCTCTAAACGCCAGAAGAGAACAGAGGGCCAGCCTAATATATGGAAGGCAGATTTTAATATGATGAAGAACGAATTGCTGTCCGTGAATTGGGACCAAATATTCAGGGGAGATCCGGAGGACGACTGGAGATCTTTTAAAACGATTTCACTCGATCTGATTAGGCGCTGTTGTCCACCTAAAGTACAAAAAACAACTAGTCGACCTGCTTGGTTAACTAGGGACCTAAATAAACAGCTACGGAAGAAAAGCAAAAGATGGAAAAAATTCAGGGAAACTGCGTCACCAGCGCATTTCGAAGAATTTCGTCGTCAACGAAACGCCGTCAATAAAGGTATCCGTCAGGCACGGAAGGAGTATGAATCCAAAATTATACGACAGGTTGAACAGAAGCCTAAGATTTTATTTCACTATCTGAACAGTAGACTGAAAAATAAGGACCCGGTCGCGGTGCTGAAGGATGATAATGTTGTAGAGATCATTGAGAACAACGAGAAAGCCGAACACTTAGGACAGTATTTTGCCTCGGTTTTTACTAGAGAAACAGAGTTTCGCTGTCGCAGTACCGGCAATGCTCTTGAGACTGTTGGTCCCGTGCTTGACTCCATACTCTTCCCGGCAGCTGCCGTGGAAAGGGAGCTGAAAAATCTCAAAGAAGCAAAGTCCTCGGGTCCGGACAATATACCGGCCAAATTCTTGAAGGAACTGGCGAATGAACTTTCCAAACCACTGGCGCACATCTTCCGCTCGTCATTCGAATTAGGGAGGTTGCCATCGGAATGGAAGACAGCAAATATCTTTCCGATATACAAGGGCGGGGCTCGCACTAATGCTAACAATTACCGGCCTGTTAGTCTAACCTGCATCCGCTGTAAAATAATGGAGTCCATAGTTAAGAAAGCAACTATGGAGTTCCTGGAGCAGGGCCATTTAATCTCAGACCTGTAGCACGGCTTTAGACAGAACCGCTCGTGTCTTTCCAGTTTATTGCTCTCGACGGAGCAGTGGACTCGCGCACTGGATGAGGATGGGAGGGTTGATGTCATATACACAGACTTTAAGAAGGCGTTCGACAGCGTCCCACACAAACGCCTTATCTACAAACTTTCTGAAATTGGGATAAGAGGAACGCTGCTGACATGCATAGCAGATTTTCTTACCGGGAGATCGCAAACCGTGTGCGTTGAGGCCTCAAGGTCAACTCCGACTCCCGTTTTAAGTGGTGTACCCCAGGGCTCCGTCTTAGGGCCGTTGCTATTCCTGGTTTACATTAACGACTGCGTCGACGACCTGGGATGCAGCGCCATCATGTTTGCTGACGATGTTAAGCTGTGGAGACCCATCAGATCTGATGCAGACAGGTACGCGCTTCAAGACAGTCTCAACCGCCTAAACAGTTGGTCAGCTCGCTGGCTCCTCAATTTTAATGTGGACAAATGTGTGGTCCTGAGACTCCGCACCAGACAGACCAGTAAGGAGGACGATTCCTTTCAATATGTCCTTGGTGGTCAGTCCCTTTCAAATGTTGTGGAACAGAAAGACCTGGGAGTCCTTATGACCTCCTCGCTGAAACCATCTTCACAGTGTCAAAGGGCAGCCAAAAGTGCGATAAGGGTGTTATTTGCTCTGAGGCGAGGATTTGTGCAGATCGACAAGGAGCTGTTCGGAAAAACCTATGGGGCATTCGTCCGGTCTCACTTAGAGTATGCAGTCCAGGCCTGGCGACCGTGGTTAAAGAAAGATTATCAACGACTGGAAAGAGTACAGGCGATGGCTACGAAGATGGTCAAGAATCTTCATCATTTGCCTTACGAAACCAGGCTGACTGAACTAAATCTGTTTTCTCTAAATTACAGGCAACTGCGCGGCGATCTCATTCAAACCTACAGGATTGTCAGAAGCCGTGAGTGTGCCCTAGATTTTGATGACTTCTTTGAATTGGCCCGGACTGACCGTCTGCGTGGTCATCCGTTCAAACTGCAAAGGAAGCGGGCTCATTCGGACGTCCGACGGAACGCCTTATCACACAGGGTCATCGGGGCATGGAATGGACTCCCTGATGCCGTCGTTCTTTCCGAAAGTGTTAACTCCTTTAAGTGCAGACTAGACGCTCACTTGTTGCGAACCTACTGTACATACAATCATGATTGTTTTAGCCGCGGCAGTTTGCGCCTGGCTCACAGTTACCGCTAACTTCTTAACGTTTCGCATTTGCAGATGTAATTGATGACTTTATTTCTGTTTATCGACATGAATAGGGTGCTCAAGGGCGAAAGCCTCATTCCCTTAATAAACTGACTTAAACTGACTGACACTGCCTGATAATTCCTAAAAAAAGATTGAAGGCCTTTATCTTCACGTAGACATGCCCACCCCATACGCATGACAGAGCTAAGGTGACTGCTGTCAACCTTCCGTCTGGTCAACTGCATTAGTCCTGTATGCACAATCTCGAAAGCATCATCCTGAACTCTTTTACAACTTTCTGAGCCGGCGTTCACATATCAACCGAAGTCGGCATGGCGTTCACAAAGCAATAGCACAAGCCTCGTGTGTGTAACATAATTTGCGTGGGAGGTCGTGCAGCATGTAGGACATCGAAGTCATTTGTCTGAATCTCCGCAAACCCTCCGTCTTAGGAAAGTACACAATGCTTACAGGAAAATTTTACTACTGCCGTTTGACTGAGAAATAAATTGTTTGGGCTTGGAATTTTCTTGAGAATATGATTTTCTTTTCACATGTAACAGCAACGTTACGTTTTTCATGTAGACGTAGAGTTCGTTTCAGACGGAAATTTAGTCTAAAATCGCAAATTTGCACAACCTTCGATGATTGCCTGACAATATTTCTCCGTCCCCTGATGAGCTTCTAATTTTCGACTGGCCATAATCTGAACAAAGATATGATGATAAAGTCGGTCATGGTAGAAATCCACAGTAATTTACATCCGATGCCCCGGCGAAATTTCGGAAGCAAAGTCCTTTGAGCAACGATGGAGGGCAAAGATATCAGTCATACTGCAAGCCGCGAAAAACTACTACCAGCACTTCTAAGCAGACACTTCTGAAATGCATATGATGTGTGATGCGATCTCAACTTATTTGGAAGAGGTGTTAATTCAGGCACAAATCAAAGGCTTAATTATCAAAACATGGGATTACATCGAATCCTGGTACTTTCAGTCTGGAAAAACCTGATTATTTTCTTAGACGGAAGGTGGGAGATCCAAGTAATTTTGGTTTCTACTAGCCGAGACGGTCGATGGAGCCTCGGTGATCGCGGATTGATGGTTGAGAACGGTTCCGAAGTTGTCGGCCAGACCCTCAGAATTTAGGCTCCAACAATAACCTGTGCTATTCCTTCGGAACTTGGATTCGAAGCGATTTCTTTGGCTGAGGACCTTATATCATCCCGAATGACACGAAGAAAATACTTATTTAATTTTTGTTCGCGTATCCTTGGGTTAAATTGGCCTTGTAACCGACCTCTGCATTTTGCATTCCCAGTGATAGTCGCTGCTTAAACCGGCGACACCTGAAGAAGGTCGACCTTTGCCTCAATTCCGCGGTGGAAATGGGTTTATGTGGCCTATTTTACTAGACCAGCGGGTCGATGATGCCTACATCGTTGTCATCGCGTTGGTCCTGGTGCAGGCAGCGCGACCTAGAACGTTCACGCGGGTGAAAAGTATTACGTCCCGCAGTTAGCAGCCCTGCGTCTTCATGGTGGCGTTGTCATCCGGAGCCTACATGTTCTCCAGGCGCTGGGCTAAATGACTGTACAACCTAAACTGTAAGCAGACGCATCCAACAGACTAGTATTTAACATGCCTGGTGGTCTCTTGTGTGATCGCATTCGGAGTCTCATCTAAGAGATAACGAGACGGTGATCCGTTCAGCACTTGGAGTCGCAGACCGCCTTGGCACCGGCACGTCCTGTCGATTTCGCCTCCGCACAATAACGTAGTCTCGCAGCCACCGACGATGGAATCGGAAATATATCAGTGTGGAAATAAAAAGGTGTTAGGTAAGAGAATATTATGTTCTGCACGGGCTTGCAGGCAGAGGCTGTTGCCATTTTTACCCCCTCTCTCGATTGTGTGGCAACCCAGTACTTAGCCACAGGGAGATGTGTCTGTGTCGACGCGGACACTGAAGTCATCAAGGGCAGTCAGGTTATCTGCCTTCGGCACAGACAAGAAGATGACATGCGGGTCATTTCAGAGATTGTTTATCACCTCGCCAGGGCTAGTAACTGTGGAGGCGTAGGTGCTGATGGTGATGGCGAGTCTTGCTCCCCGAAGAGGCGGACACAGGCTCCATACTTGTAGACCTCAGCAGCGATCACGTCCGATCCGGGTGCTTTCCCGCTGGAGAGCTGTTGCACAGCACTTATATTTTCATGGAGAAGAGACGGGAGGTCGAGATCCACGTTGGTCTCCACTTGCAGCAAACGGGTGATGGCGGCGTCGGAGATGACGGAGGGGCGGTTGAGGACGCCTCGGAAATGCTCGGCCCATCGCTGTAGAATTTGTGTCTTTTCAGTGAGTAGGGTATTTCCGTCGACGCTGAGGAGAGGAGCAGTTCCTTTCGTCGGCGGATCGTAGACAGTTTTCGTCGCGTAGAAGAGGTTTTTCCATTCGTTACGGCCAGCGTACTCTTGAATCTCCTCAGCCCTGCGAGCGGTCCAGGCACCCTGCATCTCGCACAGTTGCTGTTGAACAAGGCAACTTTGTTGTCGTCGGTGGGGCGATCTGCGTAGACTTCTTGTAGGCGGTTCTCTTCGGCGAACAGATTGCCGATAGCACCGTCGTTGTCGTCAAACCAGTCCTGGTGTTGGCGGCGTGCGCAACCGAGGACGGCGAGCGCCGTCTACAGGACCGTGTTTCGCAGTTGACACCAGCGGTTCTCCATGGAGGCGCTCTCGACAGCGGCGGCGTCCGCGGCGACAGCGGCAGCGACCGGAAAATTGTCTAGAAGTTAAGCTAGCTCATTGCTTAAATGAAGATGGTGAGCGGGCAAAGACAACAAGGCAACATTCAGCTTACCTGGGGGTCGCTTACCTTATGGTCTCCTGGGAGGCTGTTGACGAGTTCGCATCTTTGAGATGACGAGACGATGGTCGGTCCACCCGTCAGCACCCGCGATCGCCTTCGTCACCAGCACATCCCGCTGGTCTCGCCTCCGGACGAGGAAGAAGTCCAGCAGGTGCCACTGACGCGACCGAGGATGCCTCCAGCTGGTCATCTCTCGTTCCGGCAGGCAGAATAAGGTGTTCGTCAGGGCGAGGCGGTGTTCTGCGCAGGTGGGGATGAGTAGCAGGCCATTGTCGTTTGAGCCGCGGAGACCATGGGAACCCAGCACACCTCTCCAGGCAGCATTGTCTGTGCCGACGCGGGCGTTGAAGTCACCAAGACCAATCAACTTGTCCGCCTTCGACACAGTCGCCAAGAGGGCGTGCAGGTCCCCGTAGAATTCGTATTTTGCGACGTCAGGGCTGGGCATCGGTGGAGCGTAAACGTTAATGATGGCGGCGGATTTGCTTCCCGAAGGAGGCAGGCGGAGGCTGCTTATGCGATCGTTGATGCCCCGCGGCAGAAAGGGCAGTTGTCCCACGATGTCGTTCCGGTTGGCGAAGGTGACTCGCACGTCCCATCGTTCTGCTCCGGGGTCGAACGCTCCAGATTGTCTAACAGGGAACGAACAGTCCAGGCTGACGAAGTGAACGAAATCACCCTGCCAGTCTGGCGAGTGGGGCAGCGGGAAGGAGGAAGGGAGAAAGATGAAGAAGAAGAAGAAGAAGAAGAAGAAGAAGAAGAAAAAGAAGAAATAGAGAGAGTATGATCGTTGTCGTCGTTGTTGTTCGATTTTGATTGTTTTGACCGTGAGTTTAACGTCTACGACCACGGTCAGCCTGCAGACGTTTTTCCACAGCAATCTTTAGGGCACCTTTTCCAGCCCCTTCCCTTGCAGGTAAGCAGTGCCACCCTAAATAGGACAGCTTGGTAGTGCCAGGTGCGGCCGAATTCCACTGTGGGCCATGACTTTGTTGTAGTGGAAGATCGACTCGAATTTGCCTAAAGCTTATGACATTGCCGTAAGATCGTGGCCTCCTGCATTGCACCGGACGGAGCCGCATCACGACGATGCCGATGCAAAGTTACATCCAACCAACCGCTCAGCGGAGTTCACAACACCGTGTGCGCGGGGCAGGAGCTCACGGGTACCCTCAGCTGGTTTAGCCCGCCGGTCGAGGCGGTTACCGGGGTGTGACCGCTGGACAGAGCGCACCTCCGGGGATTCACAGATGAGAGTTGGGTGTCGGAAAGTGGACGCTAGACGTAGTCTGCGCCTGTATGCAATTGAGCGACCTGTTAAGACCATCACGTGAACCCACCGCCGGACACCCCTACACCCACTGATTTTGTACTCTAATCTAGTGTGTGCAAACTAGACATACACCCAGCTTCCCAGTTAGCAGCCACGACCAGTCTCCGAAGTAACATATGACTACATTGCTTGAAGTAATTACGTAGAAGTTGGCATTTACCTTTTTCCACTGGCAGACAGCTGCTTGCTATTCGCACGCAATCATGTAAACAATCTCTTTTGCAATTTTACCCTTATCGGTGCATTTTCTTAGACAGTCTATAACCAATAGGAATTTCACAGGTGCTCGCATACCTTTCCCTTAATAAAACAGAATTTAACTGAGCTACGCCTTCCTGCCACCTATTTTGGCTGGACCACCGTAAGAACTCCCCATATCGACCGAAATAACAGTAAGTAGTTTAAAACAAGGCGAATGCACGATCACTGGGACAGTAGGTTTATTTGCCTGGGCTTTCGAACTCGAACTAGAGTTCATCATCAGAGACTTCTCAAGTGCAGCAAATTTTGAACATTTATACCGTTTGTCCTTGCGGGGGTGAGGGGGAGTACGTCCGTGGTTAGGTAGGGTTTGTGCCGCCTGGTCCGCGATGTTCTCCCGGCGTGGTGACGCCGTTTGTACTTCGCAACGGTGTGATCTGCGCCACCTGGCCGCGTGGGCGGAGCGCGTGATAACACGCAGGCAAATCGATGTGTCTGTTGAT